ATGATCAAACCAAGACCGAGACCCGGGAAAATGTAGCAGTTGTTTGCCTGAAAAAGGGATGTTATCGGAAGGACATGAATTGTTCAGAAAAATGTTACAATAGAAAATCAACGAACCTGGCCAGGCATGAATTTTTTGCCATCATACTCAACAGGGTCAAACGGGCTTCCACTTGCAAAGATTGCACGACCCTATAATCGAACACAAGCTTCTTTTAGTCACATCAAATGCAATGCAAAGTTACATTTGTGAGGGTATCAATAAGCTTTTGGTCGTTACCTTGGTCCATGTGTAAGCTTCTTCCGCTGTGCACTCGGCTTGAGAAGTTGGGTTTGAGAGAGCAAGAATCAATGGTTTCTGTAACCAACCACATAAAAATGAGCATCAGAAACAAGAACACAGATACCGCGAAACCGGATCAAAAAGAAGGAAATAAAACCTCGTTCAAGGTGGCCATGGCTTCCACTACTTCCTTAGTGAATGTCTTACCCACACCAGAAGTTCCAATAAGAACAGTTGGCTTGATTGCCTGATTTAAGACAAGAACTAAAAATGTCTGAGATACATTTCTCCTCTACTCATGTATAGATTTTAAGATGAGTTTTCTAAATTACATTAACAGCTCCCAAGAGCTCCTTGACGGGCTTGTGGTCATGCGCCCATGGCTGCTTGAAATGCTGAAGCGATTCTTTTCGTGAGCTAACAATCAGTCCCTGCAAGATAATCCAAAGGATGTTTCGTAAATGAACAAGAAAGCAATAGCTAACAATGAGATGTAGTCAACAATACCTTGGAGTCCACAAGCCAAATCTTCTTCCGGGTCTCATCAATTGGTTTTCCAGTCTACAAAACAATACAGTCACATGTTCTTGGTAAGGAGCAAAGAGAATCAAAAAATTCTCAAGAATGCGAAAACCGCGAAAAAATATCTAACCTCTCTCGAAATTTTAAGAGCAATTAGCTCAGCGATTCCGGTTCCAGCCTTCAAAGAAGATAATTAAAAGCTTTAGCAACATAACAAATACTTGACAAAAAAAGCTTATTTGGTATATGTTTTCAAGTCTCACCTCTCCAGCACCCAAGAACAAAAAGGTATGGTCAGCTAGGCTTTTACCAAGTACTTTCTGAGCCGCAATAAGCCCGGCAAGCACCACTGATGCAGTACCCTGCAATTTTACACAGAAAATACATATTATTGCTAGTCACCTTTCAAAAACTCAAAAATGATACCAATGTTGAACACAAGTTCTTACTTGGATATCATCATTGAAAACGAGATGACTGGAGCAGTACTTAGAGAGAAGCTCAAACGCGTGGTGGTTTGCAAAATCTTCAAACTGAAACCAAGATTACTAGTAACTGTTATATCAACACAATACTGAAAAATACAGTTTTTAGCAAGAACCAAATCATATGACTTACCTGCACCAACACTTTTTCTCCATAGTTTTGTTTCACAGCACACATAAACTCATGCAAAAACTCTGCATATTCCTGAACAATACAAGAAACTAGACCTTTCAGTTTCTGAAACACCGATCTTTCTAAACACAAGAAGTGTATAAAAACTAGAAAAGATAATAGTAAACCTCGCCATTTGCCCTCTTCTGTTTAAGACCAATGTAAAACTCATCATTCAAGAGCTTCTCATTGTTTGTACCCACATCAATGGTTATTGGAAGGCACTGCAAGAGGAATAGAGTGTACATTTATTACTAAACATAACCACCAAAACATTCATCAGCTTTTTATCGGTACTTACAGCCGATGGACGGATTCCTCCCAAAGCTGTGTAAAGAGAAAGCTTCCCAACAGGAATCCCCATTCCCTGTACAAATTTCCCACCATCCAAATCAACATAAGAACAAAGAGAGACTAAGTGTTCCATGGTTAAAACTCTGTTTACCTGACAACCAAGATCTCCAAGACCGAGAATCCTCTCACCATCGGTAACAACAATAACTTGAATCCCTCTCTGTGGCCAATTCTTCAACACTTCAAGAATCTTTCCCCTTCAGAAATACCACATTGTACTTAGAATCACCAATGGAAAACGATATAGTTGAGAGATAAAAAAAAAAAATACAGTTGCTAAATCGCAGTACTTCTCTTTCAAGCTGATATAAAGACCTTGTGGCCTCCTATAAATACTCCCATATTTTTGACAAGCCTCACCAACCGTCGGTGTATACACAACCGGAAGCAACTCCTCCACATTATCAATCAAAAGCTTATAAAACAATCTCTCATTCCTTTCCTAAAAGATTCATCAAATTCATCAGCTCCCATTTCCAAACAGTACAAAACCAAAACCAAAACAGAACATTTCATCACCTGAAGATCCATAAGAGCCATGTAACGCTGCAAAGGAACCGTATACTGACGAAGATTATGCATCACCTTCCTCTCCTATAAACACACAAACAAAAATCAACATAAACTCAAAAGAAAATGAAGATTCTACTCAAAACATAAACATCAAAATCACCTGAACATCTTGAGATAAAACTACAGGAGGAAGAAGACCAGTTATGTAATGAGCATCTCTCTCTTTATCAGTAAATGCAAGTCCTTTATTGTAACGAGGATCACGCATCAATGTATACCCACTGTAAAAAAAAATACAACTTTTGTAAAACATTGTCACAAAAACAAGAATAGAAAGATCCAAGATTTCTTGGTTTACAAGTTATTATAAACAAAGCAATTCTTGAATAGAAGATCCCTAAAAAGATTTTATGATGGTACCTTGCGACAGAGGTAACCCAAGGAGTGACGAGTTGATCCATTGTGGCGCTATCTTCACCGTATACATCGGAGATTCCACCACCGACACCGGACCTGTTACCGGAGACATATTCGTCGGAGATCTGAGTCTGATTGGTGCTCATTTTTCAGAATTTTTGATCAAGGAAGAGAAAGAGAAATGATGAGAAAAGTGAAAATTAATGTTTATAAAGAGATTAAAGTGGATCAAACATAGAAGAAGACAATGTGATTAATAATCGCCGATTTTCTAGGCGGAGACAAAGACTTTTGGTCTGAAATAATCCAATTTCTATTTGTTGAAGTTGAGGAAGAAAGACGACGACGAGTCTCGTACTCTTTGTCTTTGAGAAAATTGCAAAACAAATACACAACTTATTGTTTTTTTTTTAATGTAAACCTACCTCATTAAATTTGAGATTTATTTTAAACCCCAAATTATCAAATATTACAATTAAACCCTTTTTCGTCACTTTTTGTTTCTTTATTTTACTAAATGTACCTAAAAACAAGAGCAAGAGAGTAAGGACCATGGACCATGGTAGATATTCACGCATAAACAAACACAAACAATCGGATTAGGGTTAGTGTCTTGATTTGGAGGTGAAAGATACAAACCCGTCCGTTTTAAGCTCATATTATATATATTTAATTAAAAATGCAGGTTCGTGGACTCAATATTAAACACGGGTTTCGGGTACCCAATGGGTTTTTACCCATCTTTAACATCCCTAACCATGGTAGATAAGTTCTAATCACTTGACTAAGAAAAAAATCAAATAATTTGTCACATCTTTTGAACAAGGAAGGGAAGCCACACTAAAAGAAGTGATTACTTACATACATCAGAACAAAAAACTCAAAACCTTTGTTGACATCTTCTGTTAGTAAGTGTTTCTCATTTTGTAATCTCCAATCTAACATTGGAATGCTCTCTTTTGTGTTTCTTGAATACATTCGTTATTAATATAACTAGTATCTTTTGAAATTCTGGTAAATAACTATTACTGTAGTATTTATTTTTGCGCAACAAAGACGAATGCTCATTGAATCATTGATAAATACACTAAAAATTGTCTAACAACAGAACTGTTAAAACAATTGTTACCAAAGAAGACTAATCAAAGGGAATCCTTGGAATAGACGACGAAAGTCTTCTTACAGAAAGGAGACAATATGGATAGTAATAGCGAAATTGTTGGTACGTTGTCTTTTGTTTTCACCAAAATTGAATCTGATACTAAAATTCTGGACCCCTAGAGTTTAAGTTGGTATTGGCAAGGGAAGCTTGAGCTTGGGTGAGTGTAAATATGTGTGAGTGTTGTAATGAAAACATCAATGTATAAGATTAAAGATTTATCTCTTCTCTCTTAGTTGCTAAACGTGTTGTGTTTTATGAGATAACCAAAATAGAGAAGTAAGAGAGAGCAAAGTTCTTTAATCTTTAGTCAGTTGAAACAGAGGAGCAAAACAGAGAGAATAAAAGTGACAGGAAACTACAAGAGAGTGAATAAGGTCAAAACTTCAACAATATTAAACGAGAAAAAAAAAGGAATATTTAGAAACCCTAATTGCTATATTAATTATCAAACCACTCGTTCTCTAGGTCATTTTTTTTTTCAACTCATATTTTGACTACTAGGGCTTGGATCTCATGGATACCAGAAAGGTGAAATCTGGCTCTAGAGATGCAATCAACTATTTTCCAGATGAGATACTTGCTATGATCTTGTTCTATCTTCCCACAAAACGAGCTGTTTCTACATCGCTTATCTCCAAAAGGTGGAGGAATCTGTTTACGTTGATGATTCAACTCTTTGAATCTCAATATCATTTCTATTTAGACGACTCTGATTTAGTTTATCCGGAGGAAGGTAAGAATGAGAGGAAAGATGTTCAGGAGAGCTTTGGGGATTTTGTTGATAAAACCCTTACCGGTTGCAATTCCATAACGAAACTCTCACTAATATGTCTTCTTAAATGTTGCCCTCATACGGACACCGACCGATGGCTACACCATGCCATGGAACGAGGTGTTGTGGATCTTGATCTGCGTTTTAAAATGGGTATTACTCCTTGGCAATATGACTGGCCTTCTAATGTTTTCACAATCAAGACGTTGGTTAAGCTAACATTAAGAATAGACGTTGGTCCAAATGCAATGTCATATTGTCCAAAAGTGGTTCTTCCAGTTCTAAAGAGTCTCTTTCTCCATGCAGTTTGGTATACATGCCATATATTGTGCTATTCGATGCTTCCTGGTTGTCCAATACTTGAGGAATTATCCTTACATCACTTACGCGATTACCGAGATGCTAACAATTCGCCATTCTCTATATCCCACAAAACCCTCAAGAGACTCACAGTGCACTTCAATAACAGTTTTGACGTTATTGACACACCAAGTCTTCTTTACCTTGAATACTCTGGTTTCGCTCCTTGTCCCTATTCAAGGACCAGTTACTTGAATTCCCTTGTTGAGGCCAAACTAGATGTTCATATAAAACATGGATGTTATGCTCAAATGCATCTAGCTACAATCATTGATTGGATATGCAACGTTAAGACCCTTTCCTTGTCTCCTGCTTCTGTTAAGGTATGTCTCCTTGTTTGCTAAACCCTCTTCTTCGTTATCTTAGTATCCTTTTTTGTTCTTGCGTTTCAGACGATGTATTCAAGATGTGTGGAATTACCTATCTTTCCAGACCTTGTTAAGCTTTTTTTTGAAAGTAACGCGAAAGAAGGTTGGGAAGTGCTTCCCCGTCTTCTTAACAAATCTCCAAAGCTAGAAACGTTGGTCCTTAAGGTTTCTCAGTTTAGACTTTAAAAAGAGATAATTAATTCACTTCCTTGTGCGTCAAGTATACAATCCTAACTATGTTGTATATATGGTGCTCTATTTGTGATGCTTCCTATAGGGCTTGCATTGTGCAAGTGATCACGGTGTTTGCATTGATCGAAATGAAGTGAAGGTGTTGGAGATATATGGGTTTACCGGACGTGGTAGAGAAGTGAGACAAGTGAAGTGCTTATTGCGGGAAATGCAGTTTCTTCAAGTGATGAGAGTGGAAATTGATGCTGATGATAACAAGAAACTACGAGTCATCAATCACCTTCTTGATCTTCCTAAACGTCCATCTAAATTCCAAATCCAGTTCTTGTGAGATTCACATCCCCTCCTAGTTTTGATTTGGGTTAACAGTTTTTCGGATTTTAAAAATTATGAGAAATGGTAACCAAACTACCTCACTTTTTCTTTCAGTTTTGGTCTTGGTTCGTATTATGGCTTTAATTTTAAGAAAATTAAGTTTCTGCTAGCTAGATTAAGGGTCAGTTTGATAGTAGTTTTAAGACAATAAATTCCATTTATCCAAATTCAACATTAATGAAATATTCAACATTTACTTATTGCATATCATTATGCAAATGTACATCTCTAAAAAAATTGATTCAACACAAATAGGCTTGGGTTATGGTCCTTACATATCCATGGGTTACAAAAAAACAGAAACAAAGAAACTGGTCCTGGCGACGGCGAAGCTTTAACCGGAAGCAGAGATCGGTGTCTGGACGGGAATGAAACCACGGGTCACATGAAGCATTACATTCGTAATAGATAAAGCATTACATTTCATCCTCATGTTGTTATCTATATATCAAGTTTCTTTTACACATTTTGCTAAGCATTTTCATTAATGATTCATATTGAAGTAACTCTATTGGAGAAGCCAATTATATGGTGAAGAAAAAGATTGTGGAGATTAAGGGACAAACTTCATTGCATAAACAACACAGATTCCGAAACCTGGCATTTCTTGTGTAGCAAGAATTTCACATGCTCTCTCTAAGCTTTTACAAATCAAATGAGGATGACTTGGCAAAGCCTAGAGCGTCTTCGGAATTTGCTTATCAACCCCTCATATGTTGAACCATGCATGTTCCGATGTACAGTGATGTTTTGGAGGATAGATGAATTCTCTAAGAAGTATTTCGCCAGATTCAGTAGTTCTTCATCAAATCCCATGATTTGCGCATCCAATTCAACAAACTCGAGCGACGATAGCAGACACTTAGGATTAACAGATGAAAAACTTAGTTGATTTATCTTCTCACAACCCAAAAATACCTAAGGAAAAAAAAAGAGAGAATTAAATCGCAATATGAGATAAAACACGAAGACAAAAGTAAAAAATACATTGGTTAAGCAGATCATCACCAAGACTAGAGATTTCAATTTGGGGCAGCTCTCAAGAAATATTGGTAACCATTTTATAAGGGACATAGAGAGAGTAACATGCATGTGGGACATGTAACCAAACATGTAACCAAACTGAGGCAGTGGTTCTAATAGGGAATAGTGACGAATGACCTAAAACAAAACATAATGTGGGTTAGAAACTTATACATTATAGCAAAATGTGCATGTCCAATATATAATATACCTTGGAAGTGTACATGAATATCGTCATATCCACGATCCTCGTCATCCCGAGCAGAAAACTTATTTGATTCATCTCGTCAGGACCCATCTTCTCAAAGTCACCATTGAAAGCCACAATAAGGGATTTCAGATTCGGGCAACACTCAAGAAAATTTGGCAACCATTTTAATTCGGATACACGGAGAGTAACATGCAAGCGGGACATGTTATCAAATTGAGGCAGCGGTGCTAGATTGGAATAGTGATGAATGACCTGAAACCAAACAGAAAGTACTTGTGGGTTAGAAACTATTCATTACAACAAAATTTGCATGTTCAATACACATATATACCTTGAAAATGTTCTCAGATATCGTTAGATCCATGACCTTTGAGATTGCGGGCAGAAAACTACGAATAAGACTTCTCTTCGATGAAACACTTGTTTCGCCACAATCCTCAGAACCAAAGTCGAGATGAATATCTAACTTGGCATTGGACTCCAGATTATTTACTATATAGGTTTCTGATACACGATCACTGATTCTCAAATAGCATAGTAGAGGAGCATCAATAACAACTCCAGGAACAGAATCAAACACCATAGAAGAACTTCGTAGTAAACGGAGCCTCTTCAGTGAACGAGATTGCACCCGATAAACTCTTCCATCATTCCATAATACATCAATCTTTAAGTCTTCTAAGACAGGGCAAGAAGCGACAAGTCTCTCAAAAGTGGCATCATTAGGAAACCAAACATAGTTTAGATGCATAATTTTCAGACAAGGTAAAGACATAAACTCGGGGTTAACCAAAGTCAGATGAAAGAGTTTTAGTGATACCAATGTGTCACATACATAAAGGCTTAAGGGCAGCTCATGAAAATAATTCCCACGAACACGACGAACATATAGACTTTGGATGTTACGAGTAACAAAGGCATCGATCCATGATGTGAGATAAGATGCATCATGTTCATCAAAATATAACTTAAGATTGTGGATGCTAGAAACCCTTTTGGAATCGAAAAACCTATCACCAAAACTCTTAAAGGCAATGAAATTTGGGAATATTGAAAATATCAATTCCAAACTAGGAACCTTAAGCCAGAGATTCTTCCATCTGGTGGATAAAACACTTGTCGTGACAGTCTCCTTTATGGGAAGATGAGAAAGTATCTGACATATCAAAGGATCAGGTAATTGGCTTAACCTATCTCTCTTCAATCTGAGTATCAACCTTATGGGATAACGAGCCTGTTTTGAGCTATCTCTACCTATCATCATGTGTTTTCCTCTGCAGAAACTTAATTATTGTGCAAGTACAAAATTGAGGCACAAGTTTTTGAGAGCTGGTTTGGAGGCGTAGGTTAGTTCCAGTCATTTTGGACCTAGTATGGGCTGAGTTTTAACTTTTAAGTAACCCTAATTCATAAGTCTAAAATTGAACGTTAGTGGTCTCTTAATTTGTATCTCCAATCTAAAATTGGGGCGTTATCTAGATGTCAAGAGAAAAAAATAATAATAAACTAAAACTATAGTCTTATTAATAAAGTTAAGATTAGAGTCATTCTAGGTAAATCTCAGTTTGATAAAACTCTCGTAGTCTTATTAATATAACTCTTGTCTTTTGAAAAGCCTAGTATATTCACCAAATTGTTCAAGCTTACAACAAAAAAATTTCAATCTTTTTCAGACAAATGAGTGTCTCAAACCTACTACAGGACCATAAATTTGTAGGTTTCCGAGATAGTCTGACCGGGTTTCGGATTGTGGTTCGAACTATCCAAACCGATGTGTTGAACAAAACAGGGTAATTAGTACTTTACCATCAAATATCAATCACAAGTTTTTTGATGCAACTTGCAAGTAGTACTGGAAATTAGGATCAAGAGTTGTAAAGTGGCCTACGAGATGGGCCTTTTCTCGGACATTATATTAAGTGGCCCTGCTCAAACGTCGTCATTTAGAATCGTTTCGGTTATTTAGAAAGTTACTAGGACTAACTTTGGGATTGTTTCAGTTCGTAAAAAATTGATCAACTAGTCCATCGGGTCTATGACCAAGACCCCACTGCCGTCGGATCTTAGACCACATTGATGTCGCCGAAACGGAACTGACCGCCAAGTGGCTGACGATGATACGAAACAAACGAACTTTTTAATTTAATAAAATTATATAAAAAATTCAGTAGTCGTAAGTTTGTTACGATAAAACATTTCATAAATTAAAGCCTCGAATTATCTATTACTTTCCCCACTGTCATTTACAACAAACATTTAGCTATAGTTGCTTTTATTTTGTAGTGCAATGATAGTTTCATTGTCATTGCAAATCCGTAGCAAATAAAATTTGGTTACAACTATCATAGCAAATCCGTAGGAAATTAAAATTTGTTACAATCTTTTCACATGTAGCTATGTAATTTTTTTTAATTTTTCTTGTAGGTACTATAGATTGAAGTGTTTTATGTTTTTTTTTTTCATTTTTTAATTATTGTCAGTTTCATCTTTAACATTTGAATTGATTTTATTTTTTGTGATTTGTAAGAAATCTGTATGTATTGATTATGAGTTTTTTCAAAATTTTGACGTGTTTTTAAAAAGTAAGATCCAAGGGAAAATAAATCGGACTTTCCCTGTATAACCCTATCACTCATTTTGTAAGAACAAAGAGAAACATTAATGCATTACTCCTAATTCTTTAATTCAAATGTGGTCACCAATTAAAAACTTTGTTTAAACAATGAAAATAAAATAAAATAAATGGGTTACAAAATATCTTAATAAACCTCATCTTGGGCTCAATAAGCTTCATCTTTCCCACTAACAAAAGAGGAAACCTTTTATTGGCTTTACCGTGTTGTTCAAGATATACATGTGAAGTTGATCCTTTTTTAGGTCATTAAATTAAAGTAAAATTGTTCATGCTTTTATTGGCAGGACAAAAAACAAAAGCAAATAAAGAAACAGAACCCTCGAGACTATTCTCTAAAGTCTTAACACTATAAATACACATCATAACAACATAATAATCATAGATACAAGTGACTTGCTACACATATATACAACAAACACAAGAAAACACCAAAAGACCACATATCCTTCCAATGGCCCCCCTTCAACGCACAATCTCGGATATTTCACACCAAATATCCATAGACAACACTCTAACAAAAGAACCATCTCCAACCGCAACCGCAACAACTTTGTTGTCCTTATCAACGATATCCGAAGTGGAAGATGCAAAGTGCGAGTGTTGTGGCATGTCTGAAGAGTGCACGCCGGAATACATACACCGTGTGCGTTCAAAATTCTTAGGAAAGTTGATTTGCGGGCTGTGCGAAAAGGCAGTGGAGGAGGAGATGGAGAAGATGATCAACAGTGATGTGGTGGTAGAGAAGCGGCGAGAGGAGGCAGTGAAGGCACACATGAGCGCATGTTCCCGGTTCAACAGGCTAGGCCGGAGTTATCCAGTGTTGTACCAAGCAGAAGCGGTTAAGGAAATGCTGAAGAAAAGGTCTAAAAAGATGGTTGGAGCCACCAAGCCGGAAAAAGGTGGCCTCGCTAGGAGCTCTAGCTGCATGCCGGCTTTAGCTAAGGAGCTTAAAGATCGTACCTTGGTTAATTAGCTTATTTGTATACTCACGTACACGTATGTTATGTTCATATATAGATTTGAATTTACATGCAGACGGAGATGTGTATTAAGTGAGTTATATATATGTAGTTAAAACTGATGGAAGTTTTACGTGTGTAATGTAGAAATTTTTTTTGCTTCGTCTAATGTATAATTAAATGTCTGTGTTGTCACTAACTCACTATTATATCTATTTGTGGTCTTGTGGATCAATCATGTAAAAGAAGTGAGACTTTGACATCAAAGGATATGAATATGCTTATCTCCTGTCTACATGTTAACAAAAAAACCTACAGATTCCTTCAACTCTATTAGTTGAGACCTAGATGGTAACATAGGTGGATGAAACTTATTTTGTTTAGCTTCAAAACAAGTTCACATAGTAATAGTCCAGTGTTCCAGTACAAATTTCAGAGACCAAAGTCATAGCAGGATGATATTTAGAATGGAGAAAAAAGGGATTATGAATGTTTTACCATTTAAAAAAGAAAAGAAAAACGTATCACTAGGGGTTGAAACGACACTTGCTTGAAAAAAAAATAGCTATCGTAGAATTCATACACTACAAGAAATATGGGCATTCTTAACACACGGAAAACGCTATAATATCGTTTACATAGCGGATTCATAAACGCTGTGTTTGCCGGAGCTATCTTAGGGTGGTCACATACAATAGCGTTTTACCACTATGCTATTATATGTAAACATATTATAGCGTATAATACACGCTCTTATTTCGTTTTCTGTAGCATAATTTTGTTGCTATATTAATTTATTTATAGCTGTTTTTATAGGTTATAATATATTGTTCACTAGCTTCTTTTATGGGTTATAATATATTGTTTAATAACTCTGTTTTGTAGCTCTATTCAACCCCTTTTTGAATTATATATTTATTTATATAAATTAAATCTTGGCAAAAATATATCCCAAATATATTTTTATTATTATAGAAAATTCATTAGAAAACATAACAAGTCTTACAAACTCTAATCCAAACCAAATCTTAAATAAAAATATCAAGTACTACTCTTACACAACAAGAATGCTAATCATAAGGGTTTATGAGATAAAGAACAAAAAGAAACAAACTTCTTCCTTAGTTTACTTGCACTTCTAAGCTTGCACTCACTTGAACAAGTTTCCTTCCTTTCTGCATTACCAATTTAAGCATAGACACAGCAACTAAACAAGGATCCAAGCCATTAAACATTGGGGTGAACAAGGTTATGATAAAAAAAAATCGGCCAATACTTGCAGAAACTAGAATTTGCACCCATTCAATTTGGTACTTTAAAACAAAATTTAAAAGCTAACCTTTGTGGAAAACACACGTTCATGAGATTCATCAAGGATTATATTTCAAGTGACCAAGCATATAACACACAAGAGAAAATAACATACCACAATGTTGCGTCCATCATTTGTAATCACTGAAATAAACTCTGCAACACCAACCAAAAGATAAGATATTCAGACTATTCATGCAAAAAAAATCAAAAATCAATTATAATGTTGCTTTATAGGCACACACATTTTCTTTACATTGATGGCAAATAAAAAAAGAACAGAAACCAACTAATATCTTTCAAAACAAAAGGTTACCTTGATTGATCAAGCTTCTAACGCATCTCAACAAGAGTTTGTGTGGATGCTAAGCCCAATCACACCAATGCTTCTTCTTTCATTCGTGTATCCTGGTTACCAAAAAGAATAGAGTTAAGTAAAACAGAACATTTAGCTTCAAGAAGTATACAATCAATATCCTCCATAAATTTAAATGAATAGTAAGCATATGCAACAAAATACAGTTAGTAATGAAAGAGATCCGCTAGGAGATCACAATATAGTTAGAAGATTACTTCAAAGTCATAAAGATGCATCCTTTGGTAAGCTAGATAATGGCAAAATGTTGAATAAGTAATACATGCGTTCAAAATCCCAAATTCGCAATCAAAGAGGCAAAATTAACAAAAACCAATCACGAAATTCAAATGCAATCACGTTGCAGAACAACAAAATTAAAACCCAAAACTGGAATTCGAACATTTAAGAAATATCCCTGGAAGTGAAGGCAAAAAATCGTACTGTCAAGCAGAAGTTCTAAACTGTTCTATACCTCTCCTTGTTTTGTTTCCTTGACGAAAAGCTTGAGGTAGACATCATCAGACTTAGGAGTAGTCTTTGGTCTTCTTGCTATAAGAAAATCGAATTGAAAACCTAAAAATTATATAAATCGAATTGATACACTAAAACAACAATGAGAATCGAATTGAAACCCTCAAAATTATAGCAAAAATACGAGATTTAGAAGCGGAGATATGAGGAATTAGACTGCGTCTGGGTTTGTGCTACAAGAAGAAAATGAAGTTAGGGTATAAGAATAGCCAGATCTGGAGTTGAGGTGACAGGAATCGATCCAGGATGAGGAAGCGAAGGGGTTTTGGTTGAGTCAAGTAGGTTTGGTGGCAGCGGCGGCGGCGGTGGATGAGGGGTCATCGGAGGCATGGTTCCGGCACGGGCAGAGGGAATCTCTCGTTCCTTTTCTCTCTTAGTCGCTTTGTCTAGTTGAGACTGAGTATAGAGAGATTGGGAAAACCCTAGATCTCTTTCAAAACTTCATAATGTCTGAACTTCTAAGTGTTGGGGAAAACGACTTAAGAAAATTTAACAAAGTAAAACAAAATGGAGATATTCCACTAAAATTTTGGCTAAATGATGGCGCTTAATAGTGTAATTAGGTTTGTCAAGTAATTTTTTGCTTCCCCCTTAGTCATTTTCCGTCATTTTTCAGCATAGCATTTCTAAATTGCTATTATAAAGTAATTCTACCGAATTAATATTTTTAATAGCAGTTACGAAAATTGAGCTATTAAAATGTGCTATCAATACCCATATTTCTTGTAGTGATAATCAAAGAAATTTGTATAGGAGATATCAACAGTTCATTTGATAAGAGCATATCTCATAGTAAGACTTGACCAATCTCAATAAAAGTCATAGGTAGAACACATCCAAAAATATCAAACGTGTCTGAGTATCATCACCATCATTAGGGCCGATGCGACCTAGCTAATTTGCTGTCTAAAGCAAAATATTTTTTAGCTTATCACAAAAACACTGTTGTAACAAAAAAAATTGTAATGTATAGTCTCTATCTCATCACTTTTTACGGAAAAATACAAAGAATTAACCACTTTACCACAGTAACTTACATAAAAATGATGTCTCTAAATTATTATTTTTAGTTTTAGTTTTAGTCTATGGCCTGACCACCATCGTAGACATTGTTGTGTAAAAAGAGACAGTATTGTTAACTCATATCTATTAGGGATCGGATTAACTAATCATTTTATGAAAATCACACACGCAACATCACTCATAAGCTAATCTTCGGGTAGGTTCTACTCTACATGTAAGATTTTACTGGACTTCAGTTAAAAACCTAGTATTGGATAGTTTCTTGTTACCATTCCACTAGAATCCTAGCAAATCTAACGTCACGTTGTTTTTACACATTATAAACGGCACGCGGTTCTCTAGAACATGAGTCTTTGCTTACTTTCAAAGAATCATCTTACCTAAGGCTCGTTTCACGTCCACTAGTTAGCCTGAATTTAAGTATTGCACCACGTGTCTTTCGCTTTTGGCACGTGAGGAGCACTCTTAGGCATCTTTTTTGGCCACTCTTACGCATTTCTCACGATCCGTTATCATTATTCACTAAACATATACTATATAGGAAGATAACATAAACCAATTATTATTCTATTATATAAGGATTGAGTGGTGTAATTTTCAAACGCAAGAAGAGTATGGTTCAAGCAATCACTGAATAGCTAAGATGAATAATTGTGAAAAGATATACTAATAGAGTAATAGTATTTGAAGAAGAACCTTATCCATTATTTCGAAGGACGTTCGGGGTTGGCGTAAGATCAATATCTAGGTCCCACGGAACTAAAGTCTTCTCGAGACACGTGTCTGAAATAAGCAGACAATCATGTGAATCTACTGAATCTTTAGTGAGTCGTTTCTCTCGAAAGAAATAAATACGCTCTCTGTTTCACAAATTAAGAAAAGTATTTAAATTTCCGTTTTACCCTTTATTAATACACTAAAATAGTTTTTCTTTCTAATTAATAAGTTGAAAACAAGGATAAAACTAAGATTTTATTTAAAATTCTGCATTGAAAACATAAAACAACACTCTTTATGAAACAAAAATTAAACCTTAAAACGACACTCTTTGTGAAACGGAGGGAGTAGTAAATCATTGATTCCTATGAATTGTAAAGAATATGGAAAGTATATGTACAAGTGGAATAGAGATATTGATAGTATCGAGGAGACAATTTGATATCATTCTTCGTTTACTTCTTATAATAGAAACTTACAAGTATAAGTTATGAGATAGACATAGTTACTTTGAGGTTAAAAAATGAGACAGTTACTTCGAAGTGAAATATATTTCGTAGTCAATGAGATATTAAGAAATAAGAAGTATGAACAATTTTCCCTCAAAAAAAAAAACACATACAAACAAGTATGATGGTGTTAAGGTTTCAACTCCAAATTTATGTATTAATTTCTATTAACACTGATTACGAATATAGAACCCTAATTGATATCAAGATGGACACTGTTTAGAGTCTCAATAAGATCTAAGAACTCATAGCATTCTTTCACATACTCATTTTAGGCAGAAACAATTCAGCAACAAGCATAAGAAAATGTAAAACAACTTTAACTAAAGATATACCAATAACCGCAACCCTCTAAGCCAACCCACGTCTTCTCTTTGTTGTCTCAGCCCAGCTTCATCAACTCTTAACTCAATCGTATGAGATGGATAATCACATATTTTTTGATAATTTTATTTTTAAAATATCCGTCATTTTTAACATATGATTTAATGTATTTTGGATCGTTTCCTAATATATTTTACTATGAAAAAAAATTTAGTTGGATAAAATATTATGATAAGAAATAAACAATGAGTTTTGTTTTCTTAATAGATTTTGTAAGATGATGATTCTTGATTTCGTAAACGTTTTATTTAATGTTGTTTCCTGAACGGCTTTGTGAATAGATCGTATAACTACTAAAATAAATATATTAAAAATATTATTTTTTAGTTTTTCTCAAGCTCCTAAATATATGAGGAGAATTC